TAGTATGCTACAAAAATTAATATTTTTGAGGTTATATCCTTATTGTTGATTTAATCAAAAAATGTTGCTAACAAAATTTGTTTAGAATTACTTCAGGAACAGTGTCTCTTAATACCATTTTTTGCTAACTTGAAATTTTAATTTCCCACTGAACAGTATGCTGTTCTTTTAATCAAGATTTTCTCAGCGGACGCCGCTGAGAACGAGTGGAGGGGGGAAATCGTATCGTTTTGTTACAAAAGTTCCGTGCCCTGACTATCACCAGAACTAACACTAAACCTAGAACTAGAAACATTCGGGTTAAGCCGTGCGACTCTTAAGACGGCTAAACCCGAATGATTCTAGTTCTAGGTTTAGTGTTAGTTCTAGTTTTAGCGTTAGATAACAGCTAACACTAGCATTATCACCAGAACTAACACTAGAACTAGAAACATTCTGGTTTAGCCGTGCGTCTCTTAAGACGGCTAAACCAGCATGATTCTAGTTCTCGGTCTAGTGTTAGTTCTACTTTTAGTTCTCCTGCTTTTTCCTTCTTCTATATTTATATCAACTTTGTCAAGAAGTTTCCTGTTTTGATGTGTCTGGTTTCGTTTCCGCTGTATAAGTCAAGTTATCACTTGATTGAGATATCCTGCTATTTTATTTGCTCTGATTACCCATTTCCGAAATTCTTTTGCATGATGCAAATGGATATAATAAATCAATATAAATACAAACAATTAACATTTTAGATCAATTCCTTACGAAACCTGGTTAGAACATTCAAAATACACAAAACTCCTCGCAGATAAAGAATTAGAAGATACATGCAAATTAAGAGAAGCATTATTCGTAATAAGAGAAAAAGCTCGAAACGATATAAGAGCCCAAAGAGATTACGTCGATTTCATACTGAGAAAACGAATTTATGAAATTCAAAGAGCACGAAACGAATTGGAATGGCAACAATTGAAAATGCGAGAAGAAATGGAAAAAGTGGGAAAAGAAATTCAAAGTTTAGAGGAAGCTCTCAATAACAAAGATGATGCGAGAAAGCTCGCCGAAACGCGCCTTGAAAATAGGACTTACCGACCTGGATTTGAATTGGCTCGAGATGAAGCGGAAATTGGGTTAAAAGATGAAGTTACGCAGTTGACGCAAACCCAACAGGATATTGCCAACAAATTAAATTGCGCCAAAGCGACTTATAACGCTTTGGAAGATCAACAAGTTCTTATTGATGAAGATTTGGAAAATAAGTGTCAAGCTTTAATGACGGATATTCGTTGTTTAGATTTGAGAAGTCGTTTGAAATCTTTCGATGAATCCACGGGTAGCACGGAGACCGATCGAAACATACAGTTAACCAAAATGGAAAAGGAAATTCCTCCAACGTAAAAATCTAAAGATTTTTTATAAATTTTTTTGGAAGGTAGTAAAATGTATTAGAATGATTTGTGAATGTGAAAATAAATTAAATGTCTGAGTTTAAATTTGTTGATTATTAATTGTATCATCCAAAAATAGTAAAAAATAAAATTATGATTTAACGATTAAGGATATTCATCGATTTTCAATGATATCTTGAAATTTATAATAATCATTTGTAAGTCTTCGCATAACCTGGTAATCTCTAGAAACTTTGGAAAATGGTCATATTCATGCCTTTGAGAGTTGTTGTAATCCTAGATATTGTTAAAAATCCTTGGATATCAATGAAAATTCTTATATATGCATATAAATATTCTAAGACATCTTTGAAATCCCTAGAAATTAGTAAAAGCTTTGGGTTGTCTTTGAAAATTCTGGGGAATCGTACTAAAACCACTGTATATCACTTAAAAATCCACTGAACTTTGTAAAATGGCTGTATACTTGTCTCTAAGAATCTTTTGAATCCTAGATATTCTTATCTCTAAGTATGCATCGCAATTATTATAACATCCCTAGAAATCCATTTAAATCATTAATTTGTTCGAAGTTTCGGGTTGTCGGTTGAAAAATGCCTATTTAGTTATCTCCGAGAATCTTTAAAATCCTAGATGTTCTTAGTAATTCCTAAATATTCTTCGCAATCATTATAGCATCCCCAGAAATCCATCGAAATCGTTAAATTGTTCTAAATTTCGGGTTGTTTCTGAACTTTTTTGGAAATCGTTACAATATTCCTAGATATAAATAGAAAATACCTGTATACATGTCTCTGATAGTCGTTGTAATCCTAGATTTTCTTAGTAATCTCTAAATATTTAACATAATCCTTATAAAAATCAGACGATATTTTTAAAGATATTCAGAAATTCCAAGACATCTTTGAAAACAGATGGGATACTCATGCAAATGTTTCTATATTCCCAAAAATTGTTAGAAGCTTGGATACATTTAGAAATCTTTAGAAAATCATCTGAGAGTTTAGAAATCTGTTGAAACTTTGAAAATGCCTACTCTTATAAATGCCGAATCTTTAAAATCCTAGATGTTCTTAGTAATTCCTAAATATTCATCGCAATCATTATAACTTTCTTAGAAATCCATGGAAATCATAAATTTGTTCGAAATTTTAGGCTGTCTTCAAACTTTCTTGGAAATCCTTACAACAACCCTAAAAATATGTTGGAACTTTGGAAAATGACCGTACATATACTACTTAGTATAGGATACTACTTCTCTGAAAAAAAGATTCCGAAATCCAAGACATCTTTGAAAATCAATGGGATATCCTTGAAAATGTTTTTAAATCCCTAGAAATTGTTAGAATGTTTGGATTGTCTTTGAAAATTCTTGGAAATCGTTACAAGATCACTTACTTTTTCGAGATGTATCGAGTGTGTAGCTGATCTTCAAATAAAATGCCTCTGTCGCAAGCGACCTTGACTACATATTTCTTTCACGAAACAGTGAAATTTTATCGTTAATGAACTCGATTTTTAATAGTTGAGGTTGCTTACGGCCGAAGCTATATTCGACTCCACCAAACTTAAATCTGGCTTGAGCTGCAGACCATACATTTTTGGTAACTGGTTTTATAAGCGATTATGTATCTAATACTTAGTATCTTCAAGATATAAAGCGTACATGATCTCCAAATAACAAGACGAAATAATAATACTCCCATCTGAAAATGTTAATGGTGAAGTTAGTGACGAGGATTCGTTTATAAAGAATGAAGATACCCTAAACAATTCGCCAGGTACTCAGTTACCGAGAAAAGTAGTAATAGCAACATTACACATTAGGGACATGACTAAATGAAACTCGATTTTTCAATCATTTCTAGATGATTTCAAGGATGCCTAAAAGTTGAGGCTGTCCACTAGGGGGTGTACTATTCCGACTTTTGTGGAACCTCACTCTGGATGCTGAAGCCAACTTTACTACAGTTGGTTACGCAGATGATTTAACCATTCTCGTCAAAGGCAAGTACATAAACGTGCTTTTTGATAGGATGCAAGTAGCTCTCAAATTGATAGAGACTTGGTGTGACGAACAAAGACTCTCTGTGAATCCTAAGAAGACAGAGTTGATTCTTTTCACACGGATGAGGAAGTTTAGCAAGACCAGAATGCCATCCCTTGCTAATACTCCATTGGTGTTGTCAAAAAAGGCCAAATATCTGGGAATCCCACTTGACAACAAATTGACATGGAGAGCCCACCTAGATAATAGAGTAAAAAAAGCGTAAGACATGGGGTTTGTCACCCAAAAATGCCCTCTGGATTTATATGGCTATAATCCGACCTATGCTTATATATAGTGCAGTAGTATGGTGGCCAAAGACCTTACAGTCTGCATCCACTCCTGTACATAATAAAGTACAGAGACTTGCGTGTTTGTATGTTACAGGTGCGCTGCGGACTAGCCCCTATGCAGCCATGAAAAACATCTTGAACCTAACGCCACTTCATTTGTTCATTCAGCACTGATTGACCATGTTACGACTGCGAGCAGCAGGAATTCTAATTAGTGAGACATGTAGTAAAAATGACATTCTCTGAAATGAAACCAATTCTGGAATGTATAACGGACTTCACACCCCTACAACACATTTTTACGAAGAAATATCTCACCCACCCAAGTTCTACAGAAGTAGGGGTAAAAAGCAGCCTTAAAATCTACACTGATGGTTCAAGTAGACGGGAAGGAGCTGGAGCCGGAGTCTTCTCGTACGATCTCCGACTCCACGTATCTGAACCTCTAGGTAAAAGTACCACCGCCATACAGGCGGAGCTATTCGCTATACAACTTGCCGCTGACGTTATTGTCAGATCCAATTTAGTAGGTAAGACTTTTACAATTTACACTGACAGTAGACAAGTTATTTTAGCCCTGAGTAGAATAACAATTACCTCGGGACTTGTTATTGGCTGTCATCTGACATTGAAGAAGGCCGCAGTGAATAACTGTGTTATACTTCAGTGGACAAAAGGACACTCGACTTGTGCAGGTAACAAGCACGCTGATAGGCTTGCCAAAAAGGCTGCCAAGCGAGCGCCATGTTCGCCTGAACCGATAATCGCTCCGTCCTTATCAACTCAGATTGAGATAATTAAAGATTTTACCCACAAAATGTTTATGAGCTGGTGGGATAGGGTTAAGGGCTGCCATCTGTCTAAGGAAGTATTACATTATCCTTCAGCAGAGGCAGTCTTGTCTTTCGTAAGGCTTGGTAGAAACCCTCTACGAACTGCACAGAGGGGTATTTAAAAGCAAAACCTGGCCAAAAGTGATTTTTAAAAAAATCAATATACCGTATAAAAAACAATGTGCTGAGAAGTTAATGTGTCAATGCACCAAAGGGTTGAAGTTGTCATTCAAACAGCCAAGCAGTGCGCTTCACAATCAACCGGAAGTTACTATTTGCTAACAGTCGTAGAGTGATTTGTCAAACTTTGTGAATTGGTTTTGTGTTTAAGTATCATAGTGATTCTTTTTATGATGGATTATCGTATGCCAGGTGTGTATGAGATATAGCACCGTTTTTATACAAAAAAAAGCATTATTTATATTGGCTCTGACTTATCTAAAACTAACATTTGATAATGTGTTTAAATTTAACAGTTTTAATAATTGACGAAGTGTTTTGAAGGATTTCTCAGCACTTCTAAACAATAATAAATATCATGAAATATACAATACAATATATAGAGGATATTTAAAAAAAAAATTGCCGCTCAAAAGCGCACCTTTTTTAATTTTTTTTTTAATTTTGTTGTTTATGTAAATAGAATAAATAAACAATTATTTGTTGATCATGAAGGTGATCGTTTGCAGAGGATGAGGATGCGAAGCTTCCGAGTACCTTTTTAAAACCTTCAATTCATGTGAACACACTTTCATGGTGAATTATGTATAGAATTTTACCTGAAATCGTTAAGAATTCTCTTATAAAATCGATACAATTAAATTGAATATCAATTTGCAATTAAATGTCACACTATGACAAATATATTTATTCACACCTTGTCACGGTATTTCATAGATATACGTCAACTGCAAGCATGAAGTTTCTAGATTCTAAACAGTTTTGGAAGTTTGACTTTCTATCCGATTTCAGGTAAAGACCTTTTATCACGCTTCAAATTATATGATATTTATGTAATGTTATTTAAATTATAGTATAACGGCTTTTATTGAAAAACGCTATTAATTACTCTTGCTTTTACTTTATTTTTTTATACTCATATACCAGAAGTAGAAAAAGTTTTATTTTCGAGATTTAATTTTTATTATTATTTTATTCAAAGTGCGCTCTGGATTGAAGTCAATGACTCGAAATGAGTTATATGTAGTTATGCAACCGTCACAAGAACCATCTTTTGACAGAAAGCTTGAATTTATGGAAAAAAAATTGTTAGAAAATTATAGTGGAAATGATCTTATGAGAAAGGATGCTAAGCAAAAGCTTTCCATAATTAAGCACCAATTCAAGCAAAGATGGCTAACTGCTCGAAAAATAAGAAATAGATTTGAGAAGAATAACAGTGACTGGCTTACCGGGAGTATTTGGCTGCCTAATGCTGGTACGCAAAATAAAATAGATGTAAACCTTGTGTTTTATTTTTTTTGCATTTTGTGGGATACAATACGTTTTTTGCAAAAGATTCTTTCATATTAATTAGATTTTTACAGGAATCAAACCGGGTCGTCCTCAAAAAGAATTTCTTGAATCGAGCGAAAGAAGCAAGCGACGAAAAACTGAAGACATTCGATTAAAAAATGTGGATGAGTTGACTTATGCAACGCAAATGAAGTTAAGGGAAACAGGAAAAGTAGATGCCTCAAGAGTCGTCAAAGACCTTACAAAAAGTCCTAAAAGAGCAAAGAAATACGTAACAGCTATGAAAAAAGCTAGTGATGTGCAACCTCGTCAACTCTCACCTTTGCGTGCTTTGTCAATGTTTACAGAAGCAGGACTTACTAGAGCCCAATATGAAAGAGTACGAGAAACTAATAAAAGTTTTTTTCCGTGCTATAGTATTTTACAAAGAGTAAAAAGAGAATGCTATCCAGTTCAAGAAGCCTTCAGGGTAACCGAGACATGTGCTGAAGTGGAACTGCAGAAGTTAATGGATCACACGGCATCAAGATTAATTTCACATCTTAAAGATGCTGTAGAACCATTAAATAATGACGAAAAACAATCACTAACTTTAATAAGTAAATGGGGATGTGATGGTTCCCAGCAGATGCAATTTAAAATGAAATTCGAAAATGAAACCGAATCTGATAGTAATATTTTTCAGAGCTCTGTAGTTCCACTACAGTTGGTTTATGGGCAGGACAAGAAAATTTTATGGCAAAACCCTACGCCGTCATCACCGCGTTACTGTCGACCTATACGAATACGGTTCATTCGGGAGAGCACTGATGTAACAAATGAAGAAATCGATTATATTAAAGAACACATAACAACTCTGTCTACAACTAAATTTGAAAACACCCGTATAAAACACGAAATATTATTTACAATGGTGGACGGAAAGGTGTGTAACGCCGCAACTCAGACCAAATCAACAATGAGATGCTACATTTGCAATGCAACATCATCCGAATTTAATGATCTTGCCAAAAGTAGGCTACCTAAAAAAGAAAATTTAAGTTTTGGGCTGTCATTACTACATGCTCGTATAAGATTTTTTGAAAGTATGTTACACCTAGCGTATAAATTACCAATAAAGAAATGGAATGTGCGACTTACAATAGAGGAGAAAAAAATAATCGAAAACAGGAAAAAGAACATTCAAGAAAATTTCAAATCTCAGCTTGGACTATTAGTTGACATCCCTAAAGCCAATTTTGGCAATACGAATGATGGAAATACGAGCAGAAGATTTTTTGAAAACTATGAAATAGCCGCATCTATTACGGGAATCGACAAAAATTTAATTTACCGCTTAAAAATCATTCTCGATACTTTATGTAGCGGATATAATATTAATATTAAAAGATTTCAAGACTATGCTCAGGAAACGGCAAAACTATATGTAAAATTATATAACTTTTATCCAATGTCCCCTACCTTGCATAAGGTGCTCCGACATGGAGCTGAGGTTATAAAGGAAGTCATTCTCCCTATTGGTCAACTTTCTGAAGAAGCTGCCGAAGCTACTGAAGAAACAAGCATATAAGAGCTTATAGATTAAATTATTCACGAAAATTCTCACGTGAGGCTTGTAACATGGACGTGCTAAATAGGCTTCTTTTAACATCTGATCCTGTGCTAACAGGCATGAGAGGACTCCCAAAGAAAAGTAAAAAGCCTTTATTAAAGGACGTTTTAGATTTGTTAGAAGAGGGTAATGTTTCAAACCCAAAAATTTGTGATAATAACAATAACATTTTTGAATAAATAGTTCTAAAGTAAAATTATTAGTGTTTTATTATTTACTGTTATTTTATTACTCATAAATTTAATCAATAAACACATCTATAGATGTTTTAGGTAAAAAAATATTTTTGGCCAGGTTTTCAGCTCAAATACCCCACAGTGAACTGTAACGAGACTCGTCACGGGTCACTGTAAGATAAACTAGCATCTTTATAACCTTAAGCTTGATGTTAGTCCTCTCTGTCACCTCTGTGAAGAGAGCAAGGAGACGATTCGTCACATCTTGTGTGAATGCCCCACTCTGTAAGACCTTAGAATGAGAGACTTCGGAGAGGAATGGCTGAGCACAGATGGCATCAGGAACACACCTCTGAGCTGTATGCTAGTCTTCGGAAATTCCTTAGGCTGGTTGATGTAGCCGGAGAGAGTGCAGGAGGATGTACAAGGAGCCCGTTGGGGCCTAGGTGCTGTATGTAGAAGCATACCCTCCTCTTTCCTACATACATACGTACAACCTGGCACTAAATAACAACAAAATCTAAAACCAGAAACATTCTGGTTTAGCCATGCATCTCTTAAGACGACTAAACTCTACAACTAAAAGTAGTAGATGATGAAATAGTTCAAATGCTGATTGAGTATAGCAATATTACGCATTGGGGACATAACTAAAAATGAAGTTCGATTTTTTTTCAATTTGCAATCATTTTTAGAAGATTTCAAGCATATCTAAAAGTTTCCAACATATCCAGAAATTAATTCTTGTGTGATAACGTAATTATTACGTAAACCATAAAGTGACAACATTTTATTGAAAACCGTAACTTGTGACCATAAAAGTAAAAATTAAAATTATTTATTTAATTCTATAAAAAGATGGAGAAATGTATCGATGATTCAATAAGAAGAAAATCCTGGTTTTTATAGACGCGTGTGGAGATAAAGTTCTGCAAGAAAATTCTGGGAGAAAAATTCAACTGGTTGTTTAGGTAGAAGGAAACCAACGCGTTAGGTTATTTATGTAAAAACCAAAGGAAAATTATTAATAACATTCTATTCCAATGATACATATAACTTTAGAATCCCATTCATTAAAAAAAAATTAGTTTACTATGATGCCAAACAAACCACAACATCCTGTTGTTTATTGTTGTTTGTGGAACAGGAGAAAAATGCCGTATATAACAACGGTTTTGATTTCAATGAACCCTCCACAATCGTTTAGTAATTATCTTAAAGTTAAATGAACCCAATTAAGACGTTTGGTAATTTATGAAAATCCACTTCATAAATTTCATGACTAGCTTCGGAATGTAATTTGTAACACCAACCATTTAGTATACTATGATGACATGTAAACAAACCACAAATTCCTGGTGAATTATTTCATTTGCGAAAATGATAACAACACCATATAAGTAAATCGTTCTTTAACACAGTGAATATAAAAAGATATTAATAAAATTATTTTTTTAAGTTAAATTTCTTTTTGGTTATTATTTTAATTTTTCTCATTTATTTGCGCTTATTATAATTTTGAAGAATAACGATTCTTTTTAAATTCTGAGTCAGAGAAAGTCATTCTATCATACTTCAACGTGATCAAGAGGTGAATAAGTAACGGTTGATAAGAAAACCACAGAGTTCAAAGAATAATTTAAATTCTAATTACCGAAATGCAGATGGTTGTTTGTTTGTCTTTGTAGAAAAGTTTGTTTGCGTGAAGTCGTTTTCAAAGAATTAAAGTATTAAAAACAAAATTCTAATAAAATTATTGTTATTAAAAAAGTTCTTTTTGATGCATTAACACTAAATTTAGCAGTAACAGTTTTTAATTAATCATTTTGTTTTATGTAGTGCTGTAAAATGAAAAGGTCATTTCTTTTTCGTATTCTTATTGTTCAATTCTTAAAACTTGTTACAAATTTAGGATTTGGTCATTAATTTACTGGGAACTCATACATTTTATGACATCGTAACAACAATGAATCGTACCCGTTCTCTAAATACGCATTTTAGCTGGTTCCTAAATGCGACTTTTCCTAAATTTAAATTTTTAAATTTATATACAGTGATACAATAACCAGCTAAAATGCATACACCCCAGAAAATGATAATATCTCAGCTCCTGAAATGTAATTCAGTGAATTTTTTAAACGAAGGATATTATAAGTCTATATTATTTTAATACAAAGTCGAAACAGTTCGACTTGTACACGAAGTGAAGGCTACAGCAGTAAATTTAGTCGCACATCTCTCCAGACAGCTAAATCCGAATTATTCTAGTTCTTGTGTTAGTTCTAATGATAAATGAGATAGACCTAGAACTGGAAACATTCGGATTTAGCCGCACGTCTCTCAAGATGGCTAAACCCGAATTATTCTAGTTCTAGGTCATGTGTTAGTTCTAGTGCAAAACTAGGTGAACTTGGACTTGCTATAAACTAGTCCCTATTCATTTAGACAAGTTCTTAATGATTATCAACTAATTTTTAGTCATGGATTGTTTAAAAACTAGTTGTTAATCATTTAGACAAGTATAAAATTATGCTCCACCAGTTCTCAATGATTTTGAATAATATGAGATGGCTATGAACTTATTTCTAATCAATTGGAACAATTTTGCTACGTTATAAAGCAATTTTAGACAATGTTGGTGCAGTTTTCAATCGTTCTGAGCAACCTGGAACTTAGATTTTTTCTAGTTCTAGGTCTAGTTTTAGTTCTAGTTTTACACTGGCACTGTCATTAAAACTGACATTAGACCTAGAAACATTTGGGTTTAGGCGTACGAATGATTCCAGTTCTTGGTCTATCGCTGTATAATAATTAAAACTAGAGCTAACACTAGACCTAGAACTAGAAAGTATCGGGTTTAGCCGTGCGTTTTATCGGGTTTATCGTTTTTCTAGTTCTCGGTCTAGTGTTAGTTCTAGTTTTAGTTCAATACAAATATACAACATAATGATATCTTATGCTAACTAGCGCTACTTACTACTGTCTCTAGAACTAACTTTAGACCTAGAACTAGAAACATTCGGGCTTAGCCGCACGTCTCTCAAGACGGCTAAATCCGAATTATTCTAGTTGTTGGTCTTGTGTTAGTTCTAGTGATAGTGCTAGTGCAAAACCAGGTAAACTTGAAATTGCTATAAACTAGTCCCTATTCATTTAGACAAGTTTTTAATGACTATCAACTAGTTTTCAGTCATTTTGAGCAACATGGATTGTTTAAAACTAGTTGCTAATGATTTAGACAAGTATAAAATTATGCTCAACCAATTTGCAATGATTTTGCTACCTTATAAACCAATTTTAGACAGTGCTGGTGTAGTTTTCAATCGTTCTGAGCAACCTAGACTTGCTACAAACTAGTCCTCATACATTTAGACAAGCTTTTCATGACTATCAACTAGTTTTCAGTCATTTTGAGCAACATGGATTGTTTAAAAATTAGTTGCTAATCATTTAAACAAGTATAAAATTATGCTCAACCAATTTGCAATGATTTTGAATAACATGAGATCGCTATGAACCTATTTCGAAACATTTTGAAAAATTTTGCTACCTTATAAAGCAATTTTAGACAATGTTGATGCAGTTTTCAATCGTTCTGAGCAACCTAGACTTGCTACAAACTAGTCCTTATACATTTAGACAAGTTTTCATGACTATCCACTAGTTTTCAGTCATTTTGAGCAACATGGATTGTTTAAAACTAGTTGCTAATGATTTAGACAAGTATAAAATTATGCTCAACCAGTTTTCAATGATTTTGCTACCTTATAAATCAATTTTAGACAATGTTGGTGCAGTTTTCAATCGTTCTGAGCAACCTAGACTTGCTACAAACTAGTCCTTATACATTTAGACAAGTTTTTCATGACTACCAACTAGTTTTCAGTCATTTTGAGCAACATGGATTGTTTAAAAATTAGTTGCTAATCATTTAAATAAGTATAAAATTATGCTCAACCAATTTGCAATGGTTTTGAATAACATGAGATGGTTATGAACCTATTTCGAAACATTTTGAAAAATTTTGCTACCTTATAAAGTAATTTTAGACAATGTTGATGCAGTTTTCAATCGTTCTGAGCAACCTAGACTTGCTACAAACTAGTCCTCATACATTTAGACAAGCTTTTCATGACTATCAACTAGTTTTCAGTCATTTTGAGCAACATGGATTGTTTAAAAATTAGTTGCTAATCATTTAAACAAGTATAAAATTATGCTCAACCAATTTGCAATGATTTTGAATAACATGAGATGGCTATGAAGTTATTTCCAATCATTTTGAACAATTTTGCTACCTTATAAACCAATTTTAGACAATGTTGGTGCAGTTTTCAATCGTTCTGAGCAACCTAGACTTGCTACAAACTAGTCCTTATACATTTAGACAAGTTTTTCATGACTATCCACTAGTTTTCAGTCATTTTGAGCAACATAGATTGTTTAAAAACTAGTTGTTAATCATTTAAACAAGTATAAAATTATGCTCAACCTAAGGACAGTAGAATCTAACAGGATTGCTACATCCGTTGTTGTGACAACCTGCCCGCAAACTACGTCACACCATTCTCCACGCTCAACAGTTGTTATGGTCTATGCGTTTGCTGTGTATTTTTAGAGGTTATATCCTAGACGTATTCATATTATTTTTGAAGTTTTATGTTTTTAGACGTAATAATGACTATCATATAACCTCTAAAAAGAAAGACAGTTACCACGCGTGGCAAATAGTGTGACGTGCGGGCAACCAACCCGTAGTGGACTACAAAAATACAATAGATA